CATCCTGTAAAGGTTCAATGTGTCTGTTTGACATCATGCTAAACTGACTGTCAAGCCCTTTGAAGATACAATATGAAGAATATTTAACATCAGTTTTTTGTCCTACATCAGTGACTGTTTAAAATGATGCCAACTGGACAAACAATTCACATCTGGTGAATATTTCTTCCTCCAAATAAACACTGTGGTTGTACTAATAACAGTTATCCGGTGTACCATGTTTCTTTTTAAAGAACTGCTGTAATTGTCTTAATTATTAGTACTGCTGTGGTGACATTTGGTTATAAACAATATAGGGGATTGTTGTTGTGAATTAGTGCTATACCAATGAAGTGATTTGAAATGAACTGAATTGCTCTTCACAGGTGGAGACACCTCAAAGAACACATCAGTGGAGAATTTTATCATCCATGATAATGAAGGTTCACTTCCAGGTGTTGTCAGAAGGTTTGCTGACAGATTTCACCTATTTAATAATGAAAACAGAGCACAGGAACAAGTCAGAGCACTGCTGCTCAAATCAGGCTGTGAGCAGAATTCACCAGGTATCATCTGAGCACAAGTCATGTTATCACTAATTAGGTGTAATTATGTAATTATCCCCTCATCTAACAATTCCAGTTTTTAGTTTGGTCCAACTGGAAGTGGGAAGAGTTATTCAGGAAACAGAATTTTAGGATCCCTTATGTTTGATGTGGACTGTGATTTTGTTGGAGGCACAAAAACAACATGGGTGTGGCTCAGCAGAAGTATAGGTGGACGGATCGCTGTGGTGTACTCTGTAAGATTCACAGGTGAAGACCTGACTCCAGAGCAGCTGGTCAGTGAGATCAGGATTCTGATCTATCCGGCCAATCCAGGATCACATGTGCTTGTGTTTGCGGTGAAGATCGGCAGGGTGTCCAGAGGAGGCTCCCAGCTGGTCAGGTCACTGACGTGACTGCTTGATGGGGAGGTGTTTAAATACACCGCTGTGTTTTTCACTCACTGAGATGTTCTGGCAGACCAGAGTCTGCACCAAAAGATCCAGTCCTACAGCTACGTGTCTGAACTGGTCTTAGGCTGTGAAGGGCGATACTGTGTCTTTGACACAGCCAGTGACAGACTGCAGTTCAGAAAGTTCCTCGATCAAACAGATGAAATGATCCAAGATAATGACAGTCAACATTGCAGCTTGAATGCATTCAAACTCATTCGATATGTCAGAGACAACTCTTTATGGAGACAGGAAGAGGCTAAATGTTTGAGATGACACATGAGAGACAAGACGGATGCTTTGTAACAGACTCTGGACCAGTCTGTGTGGATGCTTCTGCCCTGGTCCCCAGTAATACTCAAGCAGCTTTGTCATGCCAAAGAGGGGGCCTACAGAAGTGGGGAGAGGACTCTGTACAGCCAGGCCAGGAACACACTGACAAGGGAGATCAGAGCAGCAAAGAGGAGCTACTCTCAAAAGCTGGGAGACCAGGTGTCGGACAACGAACCATCATCTGTGTGGAGCAGCCTCAAAAGCATCACTGGCTTCAAGAAACCATCCCTCCCTGCTGAGGGGAGCCATCAACTGGTAGACAACCTGAATGTGTTCTACTACAGGTTTGATGATCAACAATCATCCCAGACATCCTCCACACCAAACTGACCCAGCTCACTGTGCCTGCCCCCACCTGTCAGTGGATTACTAGCTTTCTGACAGACAGGAAGCAGCGGATGCGGCTGGGGAACACCACATCCAGCACCCGGACAATAAGCACAGGTGCCCCCCAGGGATGTGTGCTCTCCCCTTTGCTGTTTCCACTCTACACCCACGACTGCATTTCAAAGGACCCCTCTGTCAAGCTCCTAAAGTTTACAGATGACACAACGGTCATTGGACTCATCCGAGATGGCAACGAGTCAGCCTACAGATGGGAGGTTGAGAAGCTGGTCCTATGGTGTAGTCACAACAACCTAGAACTGAACATGTTCAAAACAGTGGAGATGACAGTGGACTTCAGGAAAAAAACCCTTCCTTACCCCTGTTAGGTATTTTTAGTCAGATAGATATTGGTTAGATACTTGATGTATTAGAAATGTTTAGAGTAGACAGGGTGTCTAGCTCAGACTGTTAAATGCTTAGGCATTTTCATGAGTGCTGCAGGTTGCTTATGGTCAAGGATAACTAGATAGAAAGTTGATGACTGTTAGAAGTTATACAGTTATACATGTCATAATAATAATATTAAACATCCTGTCTTCTAACAGTCATCAACTTTCTATCTAGTTATCCTTGACCATAAGCAACCTGCAGCACTCATGAAAATGCCTAAGCATTTAACAGTCTGAGCTAGACATCCTGTCTACTCTAAACATTTCTAATACATCAAGTATCTAACCAATATCTATCTGACTAAAAATTACCTAACAGTCTTTAGGCTTGTTCAAGATGACCCAGATCGGCGCACAATGCATGCCAGTTACTTTTCTGTCCCACTTGATCCTTACTTGCTCTGACATATGCTCCCACATGTTCAATGTTATTCTCACAGGATTGAGGCAGTTGCAGTTTTTGGAGCCAGGCACCACAGTTGCTCTCCACCCAGGGCATGATGGGAGACGTCTGGTTCTCACCTGATCTGAAAGCTGATTGGTTGAGATGCTGGATCAACAACATGACATTTTATAGAAAAGTATCACTTCTTGTATAATTGCAATGATTGTGATTTTATTAGTTGGTTTTTGCACTATGATGGTTTGTTATGTTAACAGAATAAAAGTGTGGTTGATGGTGACTTATATCAGTTAAAGAAGCTGAACACAGTCACCACACAGTACATTATATATAGTTCTCATTTACTGCAGGTAATCTGTGATAGTTCTGCTCTACAATACAGGTATGAACTCATTTGATTCATGAAGTATTAAGTGCCACAATGACATCTGTACAGGTGAAGCAGTGTAGGCTAAATAACTGCAAGATCAAAAATCACTGGTATTTATGCAGTTTCATATTAAATCAAACCTGGTCAGCTTAAATACAGCAGCAAACTGATCTGATGATGCTTTGTATGAGAAATGTAGCCCGGATACATTTTCAAACAGTGGCAAGGCTGTTGGTCCAGATGACATACCCGTGAAGGTGTGGAAGTGTCTAGGAGAGACAGCAGTGGAGTTTCTATCTAGTTTGTTCAACAGGATTTTATAGAGTGAGAAGATGCCTGAGGAATGGAGGAGAAGTGTACTAGTGCCGATCTTTAAGAACAAGGGTCATGTGCAGAGTTGTAGCAACTACAGAGGTATAAAGTTGATGAGCCACACAATGAAGCTATGGAAAAGAGTAGTGGAAGCTAGGCTAAGAAAGGAAGTGGATATCTGTGAGCAGCAGTATGGCTTCATGCCCAGAAAGAGCACTACTGATGCAATTTTTGCTCTGAGAATGTTAATGGAGAAGTAT